GTTTCAAATAGAATAAAATTACAGCAGAGGCAGCTTCCTTGGAGGAACATGCCACACAAACAAGAACCAAGGGATGGGAGATACTAATAATTTGTTAAAAAAATTAATTTAAGAAAAGGAGCAACCCCACCCTCTTGGCCTTTTGGAATGGAGACTACACCAGAAGATATAATGAGAGAATAAATTACTGAATTATAAACAAATGACTTTTTTTTTTTTTTTTTTGCTAGAGGGCACATGTGCTCACCAGAGGAAATGGAGAAAAAGTGGGAAAGTGAGAAAGCCCCCCTCCCCTGGGGGATGGCCACCCCATACTCCCTTTTCTTCTCTTTCTCCTTTTGGAATTTTGGGCACGCACACGTGCCCAGTGTGCTTTTCAAGCCACCAGGTCCAGGACTCAGATGGCAGGCACTGTCAGCCATGTAGGATCCAGCCACATTAGCAGCCATGCCCCTGGCTGGCCACCTTAAAGTTTGAATGTCCCCAAATGCCGCCTCTTAAAACGGTTACTTTAGGAAGAATCTGCTAGTGCTCTGTTAAATTAGACCACGGTCACAGTGATGCTATTGTTCAAGGATTGCTTAGAACTCTGCTTTAGAATGTGTCCTCTAAGGGAGTCAATGTAACTTATTCTAATATCTGTCTGTCCAGAAGTCAGGTCCCTGGGAAGCCCTGCTGTCAAGAAGCAAAGATTCTCTTGACAGCATCTAGCCTGCCGAGCGTTTGAGCTCCCACGGCATCATTCCTGACATGTAGGCCTCTAGCCTCCACTTCAACCCATGGAGTGAAGGGAATGTGGCTAACACATGCCAAGACAGCCCAAGGCAGCCCTTCAGCATCTTATCACTCAGCTCTGACTGTTAGAAAATTCTTTATTTTGGACTGAAAATTGCCTCACCAACCCTCCTATTCTCTGGTCTTAGTAATATGGTGTGAGGCCTTATTTCCCAGAATTCAAACATCTCTGGCCCAATTAGCTCCTTTATATCTTTCTTCCAAATTACATGGTTTTCTTACTTAAGTAAATATACCTTAAATGGAAACTACATCACTGTGGAAAACTTACACCAATTAGTAATGAACAGCATAAGGAATAATAGCAGATGGAAGAGAAAGAGAGGCTATTAAATTTTACTTAGGAGCTGTTGCCTAGCAAAGGTTCTGAGCGAGACGAGTTCTCTCTTTGTTCAACAGGAGATTAGCCAGTATTAGAGGAGTATGAAGACAAACACCACAAAAATAACATTTTTTCCTTGACATAATCCATAAGATCAAGAGAATTGACAAGGCATATCTTTTGTCATTTTGTGATCACTGTGACTAATGTCATTGTCGGTGTGCCGCTCAAAGCTCTCTCTAGTAGAAGATGCACACATTGCCAAAGTGATCCAGGCCCTGGGCTGTGTCGAGCTAATCAAGTCATCAAGTTCAGGTATTGGCTCAGCCACCTCCTAGCTGCCTCATCTTAGATATAAATGTTAGAAGCTTCAGTTTTTTCATCTTTACAGAAAGAGTAATAACAGCTCTTCAAAGTGACACTTTCTGGAAGAAGGTGCCCAGATTGGAGCATTATACCCAAGTGGGAACCAACCATTGAAGAGTACTGGTTTAGCCTAAGACTGTGGTAGTATTTAGCTTTTTTTAAATTTAAATTTTATTTTTTTTACAATTAAAGTATGAATTTATTTTGGTACGAAAACTTTTTGAAATGTATACATAGTGTTTCCATTACACATATTTGCATGAGAACCAACCATTGAAGAGTACTGGTTTAGCCTAAGACTGTGGTAGTATTTAGCTTTTTTTAAATTTAAATTTTATTTTTTTTACAATTAAAGTATGAATTTATTTTGGTACGAAAACTTTTTGAAATGTATACATAGTGTTTCCATTACACATATTTGCATGAGAACCAACCATTGAAGAGTACTGGTTTAGCCTAAGACTGTGGTAGTATTTAGCTTTTTTTAAATTTAAATTTTATTTTTTTTACAATTAAAGTATGAATTTATTTTGGTACGAAAACTTTTTGAAATGTATACATAGTGTTTCCATTACACATATTTGCATGAGAACCAACCATTGAAGAGTACTGGTTTAGCCTAAGACTGTGGTAGTATTTAGCTTTTTTTAAATTTAAATTTTATTTTTTTTACAATTAAAGTATGAATTTATTTTGGTACGAAAACTTTTTGAAATGTATACATAGTGTTTCCATTACACATATTTGCATGAGAACCAACCATTGAAGAGTACTGGTTTAGCCTAAGACTGTGGTAGTATTTAGCTTTTTTTAAATTTAAATTTTATTTTTTTTACAATTAAAGTATGAATTTATTTTGGTACGAAAACTTTTTGAAATGTATACATAGTGTTTCCATTACACATATTTGCATGAGAACCAACCATTGAAGAGTACTGGTTTAGCCTAAGACTGTGGTAGTATTTAGCTTTTTTTAAATTTAAATTTTATTTTTTTTACAATTAAAGTATGAATTTATTTTGGTACGAAAACTTTTTGAAATGTATACATAGTGTTTCCATTACACATATTTGCATGAGAACCAACCATTGAAGAGTACTGGTTTAGCCTAAGACTGTGGTAGTATTTAGCTTTTTTTAAATTTAAATTTTATTTTTTTTACAATTAAAGTATGAATTTATTTTGGTACGAAAACTTTTTGAAATGTATACATAGTGTTTCCATTACACATATTTGCATGAGAACCAACCATTGAAGAGTACTGGTTTAGCCTAAGACTGTGGTAGTATTTAGCTTTTTTTAAATTTAAATTTTATTTTTTTTACAATTAAAGTATGAATTTATTTTGGTACGAAAACTTTTTGAAATGTATACATAGTGTTTCCATTACACATATTTGCATGAGAACCAACCATTGAAGAGTACTGGTTTAGCCTAAGACTGTGGTAGTATTTAGCTTTTTTTAAATTTAAATTTTATTTTTTTTACAATTAAAGTATGAATTTATTTTGGTACGAAAACTTTTTGAAATGTATACATAGTGTTTCCATTACACATATTTGCATGAGAACCAACCATTGAAGAGTACTGGTTTAGCCTAAGACTGTGGTAGTATTTAGCTTTTTTTAAATTTAAATTTTATTTTTTTTACAATTAAAGTATGAATTTATTTTGGTACGAAAACTTTTTGAAATGTATACATAGTGTTTCCATTACACATATTTGCATGAGAACCAACCATTGAAGAGTACTGGTTTAGGGACCAGCAGTTAGCATAGTGGCTATGTCGCTGGACTCCCAAGTAGTCAACCGCG